GCCACTTCTGGCTTTTTTTTTTCTGCTTATGTGGTGCTGAGGAATCGAACCCAGGGCCTCATGCACGCAAGGCAAGCGCTCTACCACTGAGCTACCTTCCCAGCCCCGAAGATGCATTTTGCTCCAAGCTGCAAGCCTGCTTCGTTCACAGCACTCTCCTGAAGCTCTGACATCTTTCCTCGCGGCAGCTCTGAGCTGCACTCATCTTTCAACCTCACCACTTCCTTACTTTTCAGCAAGAAGGTCCTGAGGCAGGCCCATGGGGCCCTTCCCATTTGTGATCCTTTCATCATGAGAAGGAGCCTCAGGTCAGAGTGGCCCTGGTCTTAGAACATGTAGCCACCACTGGACACACAGACCGGACCAGAGCATGGGAGGTCAGAGTGCCCTGGTCTTGGAGAGGGTAGCCACCCCTGGACACACAGGCAGGACTGGGTGTGGTGGGGAGGCACTGTGGCAAGCTCCATGAAGTCTCAGGAACTGTGCTGTTTCCATAGAGAGAGGCCCGACAGAGGCCAAACCTGGGATCTTAGCACTCAGGAAAGCTGGTTTCTGGGACCATGCCTAGGATTCTAGCTGGCAGAGGCCAGCTTAGGGAAAGAAAGAAAATCCATAAATGGAGTAAACTGAAAGCTGGGGTTTGTGATCTCTAGAAAGATGCTTATCAACAGACAGGATGTCATATAAACAGAAAGTTCTGGGCACGGGCTGCACCCCTAACAGCACAGCTGGAAAACACATGTCCACAATGGACCTGGGGTCTTGCAAGAACCAGGAGGCAGAGCAGGAAGGGCCGGATGTGCCTCGGGCACAAGGTGTAAGACCAGGGCTTTAGGGAAGGGGCCTTGGGACTGGGGAAAGGGAACAAGCACAGGCTGCTGGGAGGAGCGGGGACCAGGAAGCTGGTGAAGACAGGGAAGACACAGTTCTTCTAGAGGATGTGGACCAGCAGGTGCAGGCAGCCTCACCAGGCACACGTGAGTAATGGGTCCCGATAAACAGCACTGCCATCCCTGACAAAGACCCCGGCCCCGGTGCAGCCCCGGCACTTCCCAGCGTCTGCCACACCTGAACCCCAGTGGCGGCACACCAGACACAAGGACCCACAAGCTGTCCACCCAGCACCCAGCAGTGCGCAGGGGCTACACAAATGGCGCAGGCTGGCAGGCAATGTGGCTACAGCAATGGAGGTGCTAAATGTTTCATGACTTACAGTTTTAAGTTAAACATTTAAATTTATTTTGAAAACTGATACTTCAATTACTCAATGATCTTTAAGGAAAGCTAGACACCAGTGGTATTTGTCAGTAATCCTACCTACTCAGGAGACTAAGCAGTTCAAAGCCTGAGCAGAAAAGTCTGTGAGAGACTCTTAACTCCAATTAACCAACAAAAAGCTAAATGTAGAGCTATGGCTTAAGTGGTAAGAGGGCCAGCCTTGAACAAAAAGGTAAGGGACAGGGTCAGGCCCCAAGACCAGGCTCCAGCACCAGCACAAAAAATAAATCTTTAAGGGTGTGTGTTTAGGACAACTTCAATATGTGAACCTACATTTTCAAGTGTAATTTTTGTTTTTGTTAGTTGTGAGGCTTGAACTCTGGGCCTGAGCACTGTCCCTGAGTCTCTTTTTCTTTTTTGTTTTTTTTTTTACTCAGTTGTAGGACTTGAACTTTGGTCCTGGGCACTGTCCCTCAGCTCTTTAGCTTAAGGCAAATGCTCTACCACTTGAGTCACAGCGCCACTTCCGGTTTTCTGGTGGTTTATTGGAGATAAAGAGTTTCACAGACTTTCCTGCCTGGGCTGGCTTTGAACCACGATCCTCCTGAGTAGCTAGGATTACAGGTGTGAGCCACCGGTGCCCGGCTGGCAATTTTTTCCATGAAGATGCTCAAGGGAAAAGATCTGCCATCATTAGTCACTAAGAGCTGCACATGAAAGTCACAGGGAGGTGCCTTCACACCAGGATGGCTGTGACCCTAACCCTGACAACAGTGCTCATGTGAATGGAGACATATGAGTCCTCAGCCCTGCCAGAGAAGATAAAATAATGTGGTCTGGCTCTCCTCGATGTTGAACACAAGGTACTGTAAGACCCTGGCCCTCCCCCCTAGGTATACACCCACAGAACATCCACTCAGGTCAGGTATGCACCCACAGAACACTCACTCAGGTCTGCACAAAAACTCATGTGAGAATGTTCACAGCAGCATCATTCTGAGCACACAAAAGTGCAAGCAGCCCAAATGTCATCTGCTCAGGTGACAGGAGGGAAGCTCCGAGGACCCCACCCCACAAAGACCCTCCAAGCACGGTGCCTGTGCTGTGTGTTGACTGGACGCTGGAGACCAGTCACTTCCTCTTGTGCTGACAGCTTAACTGGCCAACGGGTCCTGAAGGTGACATGTCAAGTTCACTTTACCACGGTGGTGAGAAAATGAATGGGTCCACATCAAGTTCAGGTGTGGGGAAACTAATCTGGTGAGGAAAATCCAAGACAGACTCAACTGCCCTGACCCGACCGGATGACGCTCGTCCAGATGCGTGTGAAGATGACAGGCAACAGGTACACTTGCACTCACCGCTCTCAAAGTCTCTGCAGGAACCTTTCATCAAGCTGGGAGGAGCTGGGACTATAAGTACTCTGTGCTGGTCAGACACCCAGCCAGGCCGTCAGCTCATGACAGGAGGCTCCCCCTCTAGCACAGCCATCCCCCAGGACATCACAGTAGACAGTGCCCTGCTGTGGTCCCAAAGCTAACTTACTTACCGGGCCAGCCTGGAGGACCCTGCGGCTGAGGTCATCCAGTCTCTGGTTCTGCAGCTTCTCAGTGATGAGTGTGACCATGGTCAGAGCCTCTCTGTCCACACCAACAGGTGCTGGAGTTCCACAACATCGGATGTCAGAAGGCCCAGGCCATTGTGGGTCTTAGCTAAATCTCAGGGCTAGGTCTCCATTTTACAGATGAACAACCCGTTTCTACAGGCTCCTCGGGGATGTGTCTCTCTGTAAAGAGAAATCACCATGTGACTGAAGGTAGATGTGGAGTCCCGTGTGCACAGACTGTTTCTGGCATCTCTGACTGACCAACACCATCCCATGTTCGAAACTACCAAGGACATTCTCTCCTAAAACCTCTAGTAATGGGATCTTTTGGATAATGGGCCAAGGGTGAGGTGCACATTAGAACTGGCCCCTTCCAGAGCCTGGTCTGAAACAGAAGGAAAGTATCTCCAGGCCCTGCTCTCAAAAGGGCAATCAACTTGGGAAGAGCCAGTGACAGCGGGAAGTTCCAGCTGTGAGTGCCTCAGCAGAATGCCCTGGCCACCAGCCCCAAGCCTGCTCCAGTTACAGAGGCCCTTCCCTCCCATTCTGGCCCCTGAAGCTGGGGTTCCCACTGAGGGAGGTCAAGCAGGGAAAGCTCCGTGAGCTCTGCACCGGGCCAGCCAGATGCAAGCGGTCAGGCTGACAAAAGGGGATTCATGGTCCTGGCTCTGCAGCCCAGTGAGGGCCCACACCCTTCACGCAGCTGCTGCCTACCTGCCACGCACAGCTCCACCACGCTCAGACCTCACTACTGAGGGTGAGCTGCTGCCCAGGGCTGCCAGCTCAGGAAGCAAAAGAGGTGGGAAAACACAAGCGGCAAACTGGGGAAAACCAACATAAGACAGGAAACCCTCCACTTGTGGTGGGTCTTGCCCTCACCTGACAAGGTACACAAGACTAGAATAAGCATGTGAAAACAGAACTCTTGGATGCTGAGAGAGCCAAGAGAAGAACCACCACCGAAGCAAGTGGGGCTTATCCGTCCAGGGCAAGGCAGGGGGCATGCTAGGGCTCCTGGACATAAGCCCTGCCTCCATCCAGTGAGGCAGCCTGAAAAGTGATCATGACTCATACCCATAGCACCACTTCTGGCTTTTTCTGCTTATGTGGTGCTGAGGAATCAAACCCAGGGCCTCATGCATGCAAGGGAAGCCCTCTACCACTGAGCCACCTTCCCAGGCCAAGGTACATCCAACTTTACAAATCTGTCACCAAGGGCTGGGAAGGTGGCTCAGTGGTAGAGTGTTCACCTTGCATGCCTGAGGCCCTGGGTTCGATTCCTCAGCACCACATAAACAAAAAGAAAAAAGCCAGAGGTGGCGCTGTGGCTCAAGTGGTAGAGTGCTAGCCTTGAGCTGAAGAGCTGAGGGACAGCGCCCAGGCCCAGACAAATCTGTCACCAAAATAAGATCAGCCGATCTAAGAAGAACATATGAACACTGTCATAGACACCAGGATGATTTCAACAAGATTCAACACTTCTCATTCTTACATATACACAAAGCTGGGCTCCAAGTGACTCACACCTATAATCCTAGTTATTCAGGAGGCTGAGAATGGAGGATCTTGGTTCCAAGCCAGCCAGGGCAGAAAGTCCAGAAGACTTCTCTAACCAGCAAAAAGCTGGAACTGGGTGTAGGGCTCAAGTGGCAGAGCACTAGTTGTGAGTAAAAAAAATTGAGCAAGAACAGGAGGCCCTGAGTTCAAGCATTTGGTCAGCTTATGCTCTAACACCTGAGCCAAGCCTGTAACTCAAAACACGTCTGAAAGTGGAGCACAGTGACATATGCTACTCAGGCCACTGATGCAGGAGAACTGCAGAGTCCATGAGCAGGGGCAAGCCTGGACAACAGGAGATACTGTTTTTTTTTTTTTCTCTAGTAGTGGAGATTGACTCCCAGGGCCTCATACATGCTAGGCAAATCGCTCTACCATTAGAGCCATGCCCCAACTCATCCCTTAACTAAGTCACTTGATCAATGACTAATGCCCTATTGCACATCAATTATGGGCTATCAGTTATGAGCATGGTGTTTTCAGAACGTACTTGAAGAGGCCATGACACTCCCCTCATGGGAAGATGCAATCTAGTTCCCAACTTGGAAGTGAAAGGAAGGAAGCTGAGGACAGACTCCAGAGGAAACAATGCTGTAACTGCGTAAGTCTTCCAGGACACACCCCAGATGTGCCAGGCCAGGCCCGGGAGCCCCTACTGCTCTTGTGTGCAAAGCCCGAGGACCAGGCACAGCATGGACCACACTAGGCTGAGCTGCTTGAGAAGTAGACCCCAGGAAGCATGAACAATAATAACTTGCCATTACTGTTTGGAAAACAAAAACAAAAAATGATGTGCTTCCAACTCCCATCCTTGGAGGTAATTAGCTACACTGCTAATTGGGAACCCCAAGGGTACAGATCCGGAGAAGGGAGCCACATCCCTCCTTGCCACTGCTGGCGGCGGTCATCCCCCCTGCAGGAGGTACAGAGGGCAGGGTACTGCAGCGTCACACTCCACACACTGCAGGAAGACACATCCCACGACACTCTGATCGCTACTTTACCAGCAGGGAAAAAAGGCTCAATGGGTAGAATCCAAATGTGACAGAAAAAGCTAAGTAAGAGTGTAAGGCTCTGTGTTCAAGCCCAATACTACCAGCACAACATATGAAAACAAAAGATTTTATTTATGCATATATAAAGGGTAAAGTCTGCTGTCAACTACAGACTTTGGGTGATAACGTTAGCAAAGATTCTTAGCCACACAGTGTACCACTCTGGTGGCTATGTTAGACAATGGGTGTGCAAGAGTAGGGGAAGGGGGAGTATTTCTATGCAATTTGTGGCAGGGCTAAAACTGCTCTCAAAAATAAAAGCGCTGTGGGCAATACCAACACTTGGGAGGCTGAGACAGGGGGATCCTAGTTTGAAGCCAGTCTGGGCTACATAATGAGATCTTGTCTCAAAAAAATAAATTCCCTTTATTTTTCTTTTTGGCAGTACTAGAGTTTGAACCTGAGGCCACACTTGCTAGGCAAGCACTCTACTACTTCTTAACTTTTTAAAGTTTTCAATGTTTCAGAAAGAAAACTCGGACTGAGAATGTGGCTCAGCAGTAGAGTGCTTGCGTAGCATGCATAAAGCACTGGGTTCGATTCCTCAGCACCACATACACAGAAAAAGCCAGAACTGGCACTGTGGCTCAAGTGGTAGAGTGCTAGCCTTTAGCAAAAGAAGCTCAAGGACAGTGTCCAGGCCCTGAGTTCAAGCCCCAAGACTGGCAAAAAAAAAAGGAAAAAAAGAAAACTCTTAAAATACATATACATAAACCTAAGGTTTCCTGTTCTATGTACCAGTAGAATTGTTTTCTCTCAGACTGGAGTCTGTGCACACCACATGTATGTAAACAAATGTCTCTACAACTTGGAAGTTCCCAATGCATACACTCAAAAAAAAAAAAAAAAAAAACTTGCTCTGGCATTTTCTCCATCTCCAATAAAACTTGTCCTTTCTGTGGTCCCCAAATCTAACCTGAATCAAGAAAGGCGGTCCACTCGAGGGGCGCCCTGACCTGGGCTGGCTGGTGGTCTGTTAGAGGGTCGCCCTGGCCTGGGCTGGCTGACCGCTCGAGTGGCGGCCTGGCCTGGCCTGGCTGGCAGGCCACTCGAGGGGCGGCCTGCCCTGGCCTGGCCTGGCTGGCAGTCTACCCGAGGGGCTGCCTGGCCTGGCCTGAGTTGGCTGGCAGTCCACTCCAGGGGCGGCCTGGCCTGGCTGGCGTTCCGCTCAAGAGGTGGCCTGGCCTGAACTGGCTGGCGGTCTGCTAGAGGGGCGGCCTGGCCTGGGCTGGCTGGCGGTCTGCTCGAGGGGCGGCCTGGTCTGGCCTGGCGGTCCACTCGAGGGGCGGCCTGGTCTGACCTGGGCTGGCTGGCAGTCAGCTCGAGTGGTGGCCTGGCCTGGCCTGGGCTGGCTGGCGGTCCGCTAGAGGAGCAGACTGGGCTGGGCTGGGCTGGGCTGGCTGGCCGGCTGGCCGCTCGAAGGGCGGCCTGGTCTGGGCTGGCGGTCTGCTTGAGAGGCGGCCTTGGCTGGGCTAGGCTGGCTGGCAGTCCACTCGAGGGGCGCCCT